CAGCCTTCTCACTCGGTAGGGCATGGAAAACTAAAAAGTCCTTGACTAGTGTAAGCACTAACAACTAACAACTAAAACATGGGTGCGGTATCAACAGGTCCTAAATCCAAAACAGCCCTGTACCAGCTACTAAGAAGGAAATTAACTCTATCCCTGCCGAAACCAGGACAAGGTTTTAAATATAGTGGTGTTTTTGCCTGTTGGAGACAACTGCACTGATTCCATCAGCCTAAGTAGTTTGTCCAGGAGCTAGTCAGTGCCTTTCCTGAAGCCAATTCATGAACTGAATGAAAATTCATTAGGCTGTGCAGGAGCCAAAGTGAGTTAGTATAATTTACGTGGGTAGGATTTGACCTCTGGTAATACTGTATTAAGGCTAGTGTTTTCGAAGAAGTCTGGAGGAAGCTGGATTTCACTGGGAATTGGACAGCAGAGGAGTTTGGCATTGCACTCGTGTCTGTAAGGATGTCTGTTTTCTATCACGTTTTTTGTGCTGAAATCAAGTGTGTGCATTACTCAGGTCAAAAGGCAGAGGAAAGCCAAAATCTGGTTTTGAAGCCACCCAGCTGGGAGCATTATAAGGTTAGCAGTGAGGCTTCTTTGCTTGCCAAGGGAGAAAATGCAGTGCAACAAGGGTGGACTTGCTGAAATCGTGGTAGATAAGATCATAATCATAATTATGATATATACATTTATTCATTGTTAGGATTATGAACAGTCATAAAAGTTTGTGACGGGTAGCAACCAGCTAAATACTGCCCAAAAGCTAGTTGCTAGTTATATGCCAATCACTTTTTTTTTTTTTAAAACCCAAAAAACCCAAAGCAGCTGCGTGTCAGAAGAGTTGAATGCTTGTTGCTGATGAAGTCTAGAGCTGCTGAAGCTTTCTGTGCTGGTTATTGTGAAACCATTTCCACGCTGCTGATGTGAACCGCAGTGCAAGTGCAGGCTGATGTGGGATTCTCTGTGCGTTCATTGTTTTACAGGGCTCATCTGGTCCCGGTGTTTTCCTTTGGTGAAAATGAACTATTCAAGCAAGTTGCAAACCCCAAAGGTTCATGGCTCAGAAATGTACAGGAGAAGTTGCAAAAGATAATGGGCTTTGCTTTACCGCTATTTCATGCTAGAGGAATATTTCAATACAGTTTTGGCTTAATACCTTACAGGCAACCTATTCATACTGTTGGTAAGTTCCCTGTGCCTTTTCTCATGCTTTTGCAAATGTTTAAAAATGCGTAAGTGTGCTACTAATATCTGTGTAAATTTATAAATCTGTTCTAACAGAAACAATTGGTTACTGTGCATCTAAAGCCAAGTATGTGAGGTTTAAAATAAATATTTCCTTTTTTTTTTTTAAATTCCTGTCCTCCCCCAATTAAAAGAGGGGGTTCTTTTCTCCCTTTCCCCTTTCTGTCCCAGGCCAAATCTTCTTCTTCATTCACAGTTATTCACATGCTTCTATCCTCAGCAATCCTCAAGGAAACCCAAGGGCTTGTCCAGTCCGTACCAGAGGGCTGCCATAGCTCTGCAGCTCTTGCTGCGGATTCTGAATGCTGCAGTTATTTTGTAAGATGCCTAGCACCTTCATTTCTTAGCCCTGCAGAGCTAAGAAGCAGCAGTTGGGTGTTTCGGCTGATGCACGGCCACCGCAGCGGTGCTCCAGAGCAAGGCTACTGGAAGGAGCTGGTGCAGTCCTGACCCAGTGCTCATCACTGTGGTGATCATCACAGTGCTCATCACCAGGACAGGGGAGAGACGGAGGAGGGAAGGGAGAGGGCGCCTTGCGGCAGCTTCAGCAAGCTGCTGCTTAGATGACATTGCAGCTCCCTAGGGCGTTTCCTTCCCTTTTGTTGTTGGTTTTTTTTCCCTCATGGAAAGATCCGTTCATGTTTAATTGAGAGCATGCATGCCATGTCAACAGGCAGTTTGGAAGAGAGTTTTTTCCCCAAAAGCTTTCATCCCTGGTCATCTACTCTCACTGGAGCGTAGGACTGAATGTCTTTTGGGTTTTTTAATGGCTTTAACTAGTGCTATTGACAACCACACCTTTAGAAAAAGTTGTGCTGGGCATCATGCGAAGAGAATAACTGGCTGTCTATATATTTTGGATAAATCATTTTTAGACAGGTTCTGAGCTGAGTGAACTAATGAAGCCAATTTCTACAGAAAAGTAAATTGAGCTTTTCTGGTATTCCACAAGGGACACTTAAGACATCCCTCCCTTTAACGGAGGGATGATTTGATTTTAGTATGGATCAAATAAAAATGTTTCAGACAAAAATGTAGCTCTTTTTATGTTAAATTTTATGCAGCTTTGTATCTTATCAGTGCATATAGTGAAATGTTTTAGAAAAGATTTAATTTTTAAAGCCCACATTGTGCACAGGCAGGCTAAAAATGTCACTTATCTTAAAGCCAAAAAGTTTTCAAAGCATTGGAATGAGTGCAACGTATTTTCTGTGGTTTTTCCGTGGGTGGATGACATTGAGACTGTTCTGAAGCTTAAAATGTCTTTCACTTTGAGGCAAATTTTCATCTTTGTAATATTTACTGCAAGGACAGAGGTGGTCCGTGGCTAAGGCACAGGAGTGCTTCAAATCAGCAAGACCAGAATCTGGCAACAGAATTTGTTGTATGATCTCAAGAAATCCCTTATCTTTGGTGTCTCTGTTTCCTCATGTTTGAAAACTATCACTGTGTCCCTGCATTCTTGGGGGGGGGGGGGTGTCTCGGTATGGCTCAACATGGCTTTGAAAGTGTTAGCTCACCTGAAAGCTGCAGTCACGTTGAGCTCCACCCGAGCTGGTTAGCCGTGTTGACAACATGGCCAGGTGTCGGTGAGTTTCCTCCTGGTTCAAAAGCCGTGGTTCCTAAAGCAAGGAGATGCAATTCAGCAAAACCACGGTCTGTGAAGTCTGAGTGTTTTGGGCTTGACGAGTGAAGTACTGTTGTTTTACCTGAAAATTATTACTGCTGTTCAGAAATAGAATCCACTCTAAAATACCAAATTAAGCAGGTTGCTTAAAGCTGCACAGAAAATTAGACAGATGTGTAGTTTCCAATTCCACGAGAAATCTCCACTCTTAGGAGAAGAGACTGCTGCAGAAGGGCTTGGGGGTTGTTTGGTGTTTCCAGCCATGCTTCTGGAAATCCTGTATTGGATGTATATTGATTTCATGCCCCCTAAGGTATTGCTCATGCCAGGGCTGGGTTCCCACCCCTAGCCATGTAAAGTCTGAATTTCAGCACCGTGTAGGGCCCGAGAGCTGTTGGCAGCTGAGGCTGCAGCATGAAAATGCAGGATCAGCCCCTTTGTGGTTCTGGCTAGGCTTCCTTTCCCTTTAGTCAACACCATCCAATTTGAAGTGGCAATATCTTTTGAAAGGGATTTTCAGGTGCCTTTGTAAAAGCTCCTGGGGGGTGCTTTTAACTCTCTGCTTTTCTACAGACTTCCTCTGTAATCTCGGTGATGTCTATTAAGCTCTCAGTGCTGTCAGCGCAAGAACAGCTGTCAAAATCTGTAGTGATTGAACAACACAAGGAAGACTGAGATCATGGGAAGCTTCTCTTAGGATATTGCAGACTCTTTTAGCCATAGCTTTTTGCGGAGGAGGAGGCTGCCCTCTGGACTTCCGTGGAATTACCTCCCATGCTCCTTCTTGCTCTCGCTCCGGCAGAGCAGGTAGCAGGCTTTGCGCTGTGCCTGGAGAACATATTGGTTGGAATTATATTTGTGGGCAATGGATGGTTCAGAGACACCTTACAGGGTTTGGGGGTTGTACATGCTACCACTTCCTAGGCTGAAGCAGCCAACAACATTTCTGGCACTGGTGCAGTGATACCCATTTTGAATAAATTGGAAGATACCTGCATTTCCTTCAGTCCTGTTCATGTGGCTATGTGGCTGAGGGCACCACTGTCTGCTTAGGCATGTCCCTCACATTGGATGCCTTTAGTATTCAGATCAGAACAGAAGACGGTGAGAAGGTACTTTTTTTTTAAATGCTATTTTGAACTTGTGGAGTACTACCCCAATGGCAAGACAGCACATAGCCCATGGGATTGTATGTTGACGTGTAAACTGCTCCTTCAAGTTAGAGCTTAACCCCCTTCTCATTTGCTCTTTTGCTGCCAGACTGAAATGATGGGGCTTTTAAATTCATTTTATCTGAACTTGAGCAAGAGGAAGTGGAGAACCAGACCTGGGGCTCAGGTTTGTGAAAGGCAGGATCAGGCCGCAGGGCAAGAGAATTGTGCTGTGATTCTGCCATCTCGCTGGGAGCTGTGGTGGAGCTGTTACAGGAGGGAGAGCAGTTCTACTTGAAAAGAGACGTCAATGAAGCTAATGCTGCTGTTGTGTTTGATTTACAGTGGGAAGCCCCATCCCTGTAAAACGGAACTTGAACCCCACCACTGAAGAGATTGAAGAGCTACATGCATTGTATCTACAGAAACTAAGAAAATTATTTGAAGAACACAAAAGAAATTATGGGATCCCTGAGCATAAATCTCTCATCTTTGAGTAGCAAATTGCAATTTGTAATTCCAAATCTCATGGAAAAAAACAGTGTATGCTGAAAGATGCCTTTCTTGCAATCTGTATTTTGCAATCTGTAATTATCCTTGTGTAAGGAATAATTTTAAGAAGGGATTATTAGATGATTTATTGATTTTTATCTTACTCTTGGGGGGAAAAAAAATCCTTAGGGTGTGAGCCTCGAAGCCAGTACTGTTTTGAGTTGTCTTTTTAGGTTCATCTGTACCAGAAATGCTAGTGAGAGACTCCACACAGATGTTCTTACCACCATGGTACCTAACCATAGCTTGAGCAGAGGAAATTGCCCCAGCATGAGATCACAAGCAGGAAAAGCATAAACCTGGGAAGTCTTTGATTAAAAGTTGAGAGACTTACCAGCATGTCTCAAACATGACATCGGGTTGTTCTCTGAATAATCAGAAAACCCTGCTGCTCTTCATAGACATGAAGGTGTATGTTTTCAGCAGATGGCTATTATAAGCCATTTACATGTGAATTCAAGAAGAAATAGGAGCTTTCTGCCCTGTATAGGATATCGGCAAAAGTGGTTTGTCCAAGTTACGGAGCAGAGCAAACCCTCTGTGTGGAGAACAGTGCGTTGAGTTTTCTGTGTGCACGTATATGCTGGGTGGTGGGAAGCACTGAATGATGTGACTTTTTTGGACAAGCTGTGCTTTGGATCGCCAGTTTGGAAGATGAAGCAGCTTTGTTTGGTTCCAGCCTCGGAGGAGATGGCAGGCACAGGACAGGAGAGGTGTACCAAGGAAGCTAGTGGGGGAATCACGTGAACTTTACATCTTGTGCAACTTAAAAATGATCATATGCCAGGCGCTTCCACAGAAGGAAAGGATCCCAGTTTCAGTCTAGTTCTGAAACTTCACCAAGGAAAGCGTACTTGATATATGCCTTTTTCTTCCCCACCGATAGATGTGGGGAAGTATGTGGAAAGGTGTGCTGCAGTGTGACACAGCTGTAATTGCCAAGGCAGGGTGAGCACAGCTCTAGGGCGCAGCAGGTTAAGAGGATGCTTTCTATACAAAGCAGGTGCCTAAATTTGAGAGAAGGTTTATCCTAAATGTGGATATCCATGTAAGAAAAGAAAAGAAAAAAAAATCTTAGCCAAACTCTTTTTCAGTTAAAATGCCTAGGTCTTGGAGATGGTGGTGTGTGAAGAGAATTACAGTATATTATTGCTTTTTTTACGAGATAAATCCTTGTATTTGTAAATGCTTTCTATCTGCACGTGGGCCTTGCAGATCTGGTTCTATTGAAGCGTTTGGTTTGCTTTAAGCAGTTTTGGTGCCTGAATATTACGTCAGTGAGGTGCTCTGACGGGACATGCACAGGCTTGTCAGGCAGCCTGGGGCATCTGCAGCCGGGTCAGTTCAGCACTGGGGTGCTCCAGGAATAGCAGGAGTGGCTCCACAAAGGCACTGGACACATTGTGTGCTTGCTGGGCTGGAGTTTCCTTAGAAGAAACGCGGTTGGGACTGTGGGAAAAAGTTAAAACTCTGGAAAGAAAAGATCTTAGCAAGAGGAAGGTGGTTAAAGAAAAGAGTGGAAATATCTCGACTCCTATGGAGTGGACTCCTAATGAACCAAAGCCTCAAAGCTGAATAAATATTTGCCAGACAGAGCGGATGTATGTTGATCTGATGTGCTCTGAAAAAACCTCCCGCAACAAGTTGGTTTCCTTAGGAAGGCTGTTCCTTCTGATGCCTATCTGTCATTCAGATGAGACCCGCACCGAGCCGGTGAATCCCGCTCTCGCTTTCTCTAGGATGACAGATGTCTTTCTGGGAGCCAGGGCTGGAATTCGTGATGCCTGAAGGAGTAGCCCCCTCTTCCCTGACAGACTGCTGTCGATGTGCCCACAATGCACCTCTACTCTACTTGAGCTTTCTTGGCGCCGCGTGTGCTTGCCCTCCCTTCCCATGCTTTTGCTGCTCTGTGGTGTAGACATCTTACTTCCTCACTCTCTGTCCATCTTTCCCTGGGTTAAGATCTCTGAAGGACTGTGTATGCATACAAAATACTGAGCGGTGGCTTATCGTTCAGCAGAAATGGGTTTTAGGAGCAGGGCTTGGGAAGAGGAAGCGCTGTGGCTGTCCATGTTTAACACGAGCTTAAGGTCAGGATCGTTTCAGCTCTTGGAAAGGCACATGTCTAGGGAGGTCAAACACGGCAGGCTTGATACCTGGGAAGAGGTCTCCAGGGTCCCGAGGACTGTAGTAAGCGATGAGCCCCGAGGAGTCATTTTTGCCCAGCCAGCTGTGTGAAATGGCCTTTGGATTTGGTTTTCTTGCTGCCTGCTCTGATGAGTAGTGCCGGTTGCTCATGAAAGAAGAATTTGGAGTCTGTGTCAGACTGCTCTCTCCTAGATCATCTGCTCTAATGAGATATTTCCTCTCATTCTCAGTCTGCTCTTTTCCCATTACCTTAATGATATAGAAGCTCAGGATGTAAATTTAAAAGCATTAGTGTTGGGTTGAGGATGGGAAGTAACAACGGATTGTTGTTGATCAAATTAGCCAAAACTTCTAGGGATACTGATTTTTGGGGCAGTATCCGGTCCAGAGGGTACCCTACAAACAGGCTTACCTCTGAATTCCCTGAGAAAATTATTTGTGGACTCTGAATACCATCCATAACTGGCACAGTTAGAACAAGCAGGGATTGTGTCACTCTGACTCCTGCAATTTTCATCGCTTTGTAAGAGAGGAAGACGGAGGAAAAGAAGAAAACAAAATCTCCAAGCTACTTCGATATATATATGTTGCTCAATAACTGCTGCATATTGCTTACGATGGTCCTCCCAAACTACCTTTTATTAACAAATTGTCTAGCATATCTAGGACTATTTTAAAATGGAATATCGGTCTCTAAACCTGATAGGCATGGCGTCATCTAAAATATTTACCTCTGTGTCAGTATGTGGATTTGTAAACCAGCCCTGCAGGGCTATTTTAAAATGGGATATCGGTCTCTAAACCTGATAGGCATGGCGTCATCTAAAATATTTACCTCTGTGTCAGTATGTGGATTTGTAAACCAGCCCTGCAGGGCTATTTTAAAATGGGATATCGGTCTCTAAACCTGATAGGCATGGCGTCATCTAAAATATTTACCTCTGTGTCAGTATGTGGATTTGTAAACCAGCCCTGCAATACTGAGCTTAAAGGCCAGAGCCCTGGAAGCCGTAGACCCGTCGCGGCTGGTGCGGGCACCGATCCTACCATTGCTGCGGCCAAGGAGGAGGCTTCCCGTGTTTGTTAGAGTAAGTATCGACGCAGACCTCGGTTGCAGTTCACGCTTGACAAAGCAAGAGCGAGCAGCTAGTAGGAATGGTGACACCCCCCCCCTCCCCAGCTGTGATTAGAAGCAGCAGGCGGCGCTCGGGTTTCTGGTGGGATGCCCCCACCTCCTGGGGCCTGCTTTGGGGTGTGTTTCTCTTCGTGCCTTTTGATGACACGGGTAATCTCAGGGAAGCTAGTCATCTGTCAACAAGATACTCTGCCTCTGTACCATGCAAACACCACCTCCCCAGTGTGCTCGAGGCGACAATGCCTGCCTGTTCCCTTGTGGGTGAACGTCACTGCCAAATTTCGTTTACAGAAAGCCAATCCTCAAGAATTTTTACTGTGTGAACTACAAAGCGTATTTTACACTTTGTAACTTTTTATGGTACCTGTGAAATACGAATGTCAGTTGTCTCAATGATTGCTGCGGCAAGGAGGCGTGAGATAATAAAGGTTTGTACCAAAGCATGCTTGTGTTGAGTGGAATTCAAATAGGCATCACCGCTGTTGGGTAAGGGCTTCACCCCTCGGACCTTAGGAGCCTGACTGAACTCGAGGTCATATCAGACTAGCTAGAAGTGCTGAGAAATCAGGGCGGCAGGGAGGACGGATGGATGGACAGACGGACGGATTGCTCGCTGCAGTCTCCTGAGGGATCACCTGAAGCCAGGTTCCGGCTGGCAGTCCCAAAGGGTCTGAGGAAGAAGTGATCCACGGCAGGGAAGGGCTGGGCTGCAGCAGCCCACGACCAGGAACATCCCAAAGGGTCTGAGGAAGAAGTGATCCATGGCAGGGAAGGGCAGGGAAGTTCCTGTTCCACGACCAGGAACGCAGTGCCAAGGGGGCGCAGAAGGCAAGCCGGAGCACAGGAGGGTGGGCGACTCCTCTGAGGAACTGGTGAAATAATAGCTTTTGGAGTTGAATTCAGCTTAACTTTAAGTTTGAATTTTAAGTGAAACTTGCATCAAGGAGTTCAAATCTTAGTATCTGTACCCTAGAAAGAAGAACGAACCCCGCAGAGGCTCCGCTTAACTCTAGGAACTGGGGAACTAAATAGCTGCTTGGAATAAAAAAAAAGCATTGCACCTGTCTGTTGGGAAGAGGAAAACCAGCCACCTTAAAACAGTGATGTATTTTAGGGTTGTTTAAAAGTATGGCAACATTTACACTAACAGCCGCAGTGACAAATACGAATTCCCAAGCCTGGGAAAGGCTCGTCGTGTTTTGTCACTGTTTTAATACTTTCTTTGTGGAATGATCCCACCTCACATCTCGGTGTCCTATAAAGGGGAAAAATGGATGAAAAGTGAAGCGGCCTTGGATTGCTTTGAAGGAGTCTCATTATACCCACGTGTGTGTAAATGGAAGGTGCGTCACGGTTTATCAATGGATCAGCATCACATCCTGGTTTTGCTGAAATACTAAAAAGAAGCAAGTTATACCGGTAAAGCAGGATACGGGGAAAAATGAGGAATGGAGAACCGAATCTTCCTGCTTCTTGAAGTGCTGCAGCAACACTAATCCCGATCATGACTGCTTGTGGCAGGTAAGTGATGCTACCTCCGCACCCAAGTAGCCGGCTCCGAAGGGAATCGGGTGAACTGAAGGATGTAGATGGTTTTTCGGCTGCCGTTTCTTAAGGTTGGTACGAATTTCACGTCAGCTGAACTGCCGGAGCGCTGCCTGTACTGCAGCCCCCAGCAGCCCCTCGTCTCTTCTCAGTTCAGCAGACTGACTGGCGCTGTAGAGAAGGAAGAGGAGAAGAGAAAAAGGAGGGAATTCGTTTACTTAATGTAGTCATACGCCAGAGAAATACATCCATCTGAAAAGCAGAAAGAAGGAGGTGCGGAACCACGTGCTTTACGGTCGCTTTCCATACCCTAACAGCAAGTTTCACAAATAGCGCAAGCTCGGGAAGAACCTTTTGCGGTGCGTAGAGGAAGAGGTTCCCTTGATGCGTGCTGGGATCAAGAAATAGGGCCTGTGTGGCCTGTGTGTGCTCGGTTTGGCCAACACCTAACCTGGGTCCTTTTCCGTCTTGGACAGCAGTAACAAATGCAACTGGTTAGCCAAATAACGCCTTCTGTTCGTGCAATTTATTCTCAGTTAAATTTCCTACCGATGTGAATGGAGCCCCGTTGCCTTTTGAACGGTTACGATCAAATTTAATAAACAAAGAGCGAGCCCGGCATGTTGGCTGTGAGCTTTGCTTGGCTAACGTGAATCGACGGTGCTCTCATCTTTTCCTTCTGCAGTCAGCAAGAGGTATTTAAATACAGAGAATAGGTTTGTTGGCTGGAAAACTGGCATTCTTGCTATTTGTAGGGCAGAGACTGTCCTGTGAAGACATGAATTGCAGTGTTTTCCTGGGGAAATCCCTTGTTTAAGGACCAATTCTTAGACATAATAATATGGACATATACGTGCTTCAAAATGCATTGAAGTAAAAGTCCGCATTAAAACGGAACTAGGTGTTTTATTCGTGGCTGAAATATGTGCTGTTTCTCTAAATTTGCTTGCTGCGTATGTACGCAGTAAAACCTAATTTTTCTATTTAAAGCAAGCATTTTTGTCATGATTTTTCCCAAATTACTCCTGCCCAGTAAAGGCCTGTTTAAACAAAGAATCCAGTTAAAACAGGGCGGCCTGTGTACCCTCTACCGCTGTAGTTCTCGCAGAAGATGAGAGGCAGGCCGGGCTGAGCGTTGCCCGTTGGCTTGCGCGGAGCATCACTTACCACCGGTAGTTACCTACGCGTGACCTCGGTTCAGCTCCGGAAAAACACGTTTCGGGTGAGGACGTTACTCACTACACCGGGGGCTTGACCCCGAGGGGAAGCCGCCGGCGGCCGCCCCCGTAGCCGACGCAGAGCAGCTGGGTGCCGGACTGCCTTTGGCTCGCAGGAGAGGGCTTGGCGCGTGGCGAACCTTACCCTGCCACGTGAGTACGCGCGTGCTTTGCTCGATAAACTAGATGCACGCGTTTGGATGAACGAAGGCCTAAGGCTCTGCCGTTTAAAAGGAGCTTTTTCGGTAAGTCGCGTAGTATTGGCTTTTTTTTAGCGGTTTCAAGAAAGGCAGGAGGCCCTTGACAGCAAGGGAAGGAGCTGCCCCGACGGC